TAAGGGGGGGGGGGGGTGGAGGGCAGAAATAACCCGCTCCAATGATATCTCTCACCCCTTGGTCAACTTAAAAATTCAACGAATTTCAAAGAGGATGTGCATTTTCCCACGGCTGATAACGCAATTTTCCAATTCAGACTCGACCGGACGACATTGTTTTCTAGGGAAATTGATTACCATTTTCATCGGTTCATACGGATGAACCAGCAAGTTTCTGCCTTCATGAATTGGCTCTCACTTCTTTTTCTCTCAAAATTTAACTTTCCTTTTTTTAAACAACTTTCATTCTCCCCGTCTCTTTTTCTGCCGACTGCTCCGCCTCGTGGCGCAACGTAGACCCACTGCTCCCGGCATTTCATGCCATTTCCGGCTTTTCATCTGTGCACAATGGCACATCCAGCCGAGGGTGGAAGTCGTCTGGGAAGGAACAAAAGGGTGGCTCGTGAATAACCCCCCTGCGCCCGAATGCGATTGCCGAACTGCGTACAAATCGCGCTGGAAACTTGGTAGATTTCCAATTAACGGATTCAGCCGAAGTATCGCTGTTCAGGACTGGTTTAGCGGAATCGAAGTCCCGTGCGTGACTCTGCGGCCAGCCTGTGGGAAAGCCTTTCTTTCTCTAGAGATCCCAACATCGCGTGGTCCATGCGCCTCCTTTCATCTTGGCAACTCTCTCCCTCCTCCGCTTCGCTCGGCTCGTATTTCCTCTGTGGTTTGTCCCATTGTCCTCCAGATTCTTGCTACTTTGCAAACCGTCGGCACTTTGGCTCTGCGTTCACCCAGCAGCGCGTTTTATCCCTCCCAGAGTCCTTTCGCGGTCGAACTTCCCTTTAATCCACCGGGTGCTCGCATTTTCGCACTGGCCGCGCATGCTGCAAAGTGAGAGGGTTACTACGTACGTGTGTCGGAGCGACTGGGAACGAGAGGAAATGGAGGCAGAGCAGCAGAGGAAAAAGTAACGAAGGGCTTGAAAAGCACATTCGATCGATCCGTCGAGTCCTGACGTCCATTCGCGCTGCGTGTATCCTCATTGTTTTCGAGTATCTCCCTTGCCCCTCGCGCAGGAGGGGGAGGGACACAGGGAAGAAGCACCCGCTGGGGAAACTGTCAGCTTTATCACCGAGCATGGACTTTGGCGCTTCCACTACACTCATCCTTCCAAGTAGACTTACCTCCGGCTCGTTCGGCCGTCATCGGCCGTCATCGGCTACACTCGGCAACCTCCAGCCGCTCCTCTGGCTTTGTCGTCATTTACCAAGATATTCGAATATTCTGCTGCGGGCTGCAGTCAATTTTGCGTAGCCAAACTTGGGTCTTTCAACCCACGTGACTTGAGGAAATAAAATTTGACAATTCGAGAGCTTCGAAGAAAGCAGAAGCTCGCGTTACTACCTGAATGTAAATTAGCCTGCATTTAGACTCGACTTTATGGCTGCTTATGCCCTACGTATGAGAAAGTTTCGGTCGACAGATTCTCGGCATCCTTAGGCGGATTGCTGGAGCAAAACTCAGGAGCCTTCGGGCTATCGATCATGCGTCCTCAGCTTCCTGGTGGAGATCAGGAAGTACGAGTGGCTAGAGGAGCCAAGTAAGATTGAGTGTGGTCAGTCGCGCAGTCGCGTGTTGGCAGGCGCACGCGAATTACGAACATTTATTCCGCGAAATTAAAGAGCATCTTGTCTCTGGTTTAAATTTCAGCTGAGCGCGACCACTGCAACAGGACCGTCGACATCTACGAGGACGTCTCCAGTCCAGCTGTGACCGACGCCACGCGGGGGAAGCCGCTGACCTGCTCCTATCGCTTCCGGGCGTTTCGCGGGACGCCGCGCGAGTGGATCCTCAGGGTTCGCTTCAAGAAGTTCAAGGTAGGCGTCCTGGAGAACGCCACCACGTGCACCGGAGGCTACCTACAGGTGAATTCAATTTCAGTATTTTCCTTTTCTTCTTTTGACTTCCTTCGCCCCAGCCACCGCACCTTCTTCTTTGTCTTTATTCTTATCGGGTTTCTTGAAAATCTTATTATCTATGTAAGCGATAAATACTTTGATGAGAAGCAATCGAATCTAGAGACAATACGATAGGGTGGAAAATCAACTGCAGCCACCAGTCACGTGCAGCAGGACCATGCACTTGGGGGGCGATGCGGTATCGGGAGCGTGATCATCGAATTCGAATGACCTCTGTAGAAATGAGGGTTGCGCGGGGGTTGAATTAAAGGTACAAAGGACGTCGTTTGAAAATGATGCCTGTGAGCACGGAATACTGGCAATAATTGCCATTATGCTGGGATAATAACGCTCTCGCTGCTCATTACGTTGCTTCCCTCGTGGCAACATGGCGGAATGCCTTTTTACGGCTTGCCGTTTCGTTTGCAGCTGCGCCCTTTGGACCATGGGTAATTCTACTAATTAATTCTTTGGTCAACCTAGATGCTCTTGATACTAAAAACGCATGATAATACTTATTAAAAGTGCATTATTGCACGCTGTGCCTGATTCGTGTCCAGTCGAACGGATACGCGAGTAGCAGAACCGCCAAGGAAAAGAAGCGAGTAAATAAGAATCGACCCGGTAGATACACTCGGGTGAGATTGCTCGTTCGTCTTTCTCAGGGAGTAGGCGAGTCGAGAATGAAAAAGGAGGAAAAGTCGAAAGTGGGAAACGCGAGAAGTACCAAAGTCCGAGGAAACATGAGCAACGTCTGCAGGTTGACAGGTCGATGACTCTCGACGCGGCTGCACTTGCCGATAAATTTTAATTTCACCGTCTTCAACTTCTTGCGTGCTGCCGCTCTTTTTTTCAACTTCTAAACATCCAGATGAATTTCACGTGCCCGTAAAAAATATACGGAAGGAACGCGAGAGCCGTGACGCTTGGCGAGTCACGTTGCATCGGAGAGAAAATTCCGAGTGTATTTCACCGTAGCAATAGAATTTCTTGCTAAGTGTAGGGTGGAGGGCAATGGAGACTAGCAGCAGTAGGAGATAAGGACTATGTGGCGGATTGATAAGAGAAAAGGCAAAGGCAGTGTGTGGAAATGTACAAGGCTAACCGAATACTTGGAAAATTATCCATTTGCAGCCGGAAAGGAAGAAAGGAAACTCTACTGGCTCTCTCTCTCTCTCTCTCGTACAAATTCTATCGAGCTCAAATAGGTCATTCACGTATGTCCCAGTTACTCACTGCTCCGCTACTGCCTGCTGCTAGACAGTACGGAGCCAGCATCCGCGCGCTCTATCGGCTACCCGGTTACGTACAAATATAGCTGCAGGTACGTTTTCAGTAGCTACGGAGAAGAGAATTGCAGCCTGGCGTGCAAGGGAGGCCAATATCAATGGCGTGATAACGTTTACCAGCAGGCGTCCTCGTAAGCGACATTCGACCGCGCTGCTATCGAGTATTGATCTCTCTCTCGAGTGACGCTGTGCTTCTCTCGTGCACTGTCCTCTTCTCGTATCTCTGCGGCCTTAGTTTTATTCTCCAGGAATCCCTAACACTGTTTACCTATATTCTTCATTTTTGCTTGACACTCGATCCACGTATTCCCATGTTTCCTCTGCCAGTTCGCCAAAAATGTAAATCCACTTGCGGATCTCTTGTACCTTCTTTCTCAGTTGACTAGACTCCCTCTCTCTCTCTCATTCGATGACGAAAGAGATGTCGATAGGCGAACGCGAGAGAAACCTTGGTAGGTAGAAAAGGGTCATCCGATTGATGCATGTCGGGACGCTGGCTACACTTTCATTCGGCACGGCGCACGGGATGGCCCCCTTTTTCCTGCAGCCCAGCATCCAATTCAATTGGAGCCGTAGCCTCCCGGCGAAGAGGGGGGGGGAGGGGGGAGGGTTGCCAGCGTTATGGAGGAAACGGGAGCCTCAGAGAATTAAAGGGAGAAGTTATGCTCCATATTGCGCATCCAATGTGACGTTCCGGTACGAAAGTCGTGGGTTTCCGCGTAAGGATGCTGTCGGCCGTAGGTGCAGCGGCTAATCTTACACTCTGGAGACGCGAACGGGGAATACAGTAGATAGTAAGCTGGCACTCTGGCTGTACTGGCCTTCGGCGGTATCATTCGAGTTTTTCCCGGAATGAAATTGCATTATTCGAGTCGACTTCGCTATCCAGCGACCGTACGAAGCTCTCATATTCAATTCAATTTATCATTCTCAAAAGGACTATACTGACGCTCGATTAACCATGGACGGACGCCTCCCTGTTATCTAGTTATATTATTATTACTATACGCATGCCATAGCACAGGAACCCTCGAGGTTCCCTAATGGGCTATAGTATCTTCCTACCTTACGTATAAGTCTCTGTGCGGGGGAGGTACCGCGTGGTATCAAGTTGGCTGGTTTACCCAGGTAGGGTAAGGGTAGAAACTGACTGGCAGAGGGTTCCAGACGTAGGGTAGGGCGCGGGGTGGGCGGATGGGGGAGACAGGTGATGGAGGTGGCGGGTATGAGGAGGCCTGCCGAAGATTAATGACACTCTGACGGTGGCACAGTAGCGTGTTTCTATGCTGTAGCACGCATCCTATATCTTATATTCCGTTGCCGAATGAATAATTAATAACGATCGCTATTCCATAATGAAACGAGGCCGAAGGGCTCGATTTTCCTGCCTCTTCTTTCGTCTCTCTCCTTCTCTCCCCCTCTCTACTGAACTCGGCGAATCCACGCCAGGATTCTCCACTAGCGCAGACAGATAAAGGTTATGTCCATTCTTCCAGTTTATTAGCCAATTCCAGGCGGATGGGCTACTCCAGTGGCTATCGGAGGATGATATCCGAGTCCTGGTCGTTGGAATTCCTAGAGCGAGAAGGTGACAAAGCCCCTTCGGGCCTTCGAAGTCGAGATACTTGGGCATAATATGGTAATCCTGGACGATCCCTATCGTGGATATTCGCTGGGGCTTTTACGAATAATCTCCGAATGTGCGAGGACGTCCCTATTGCCGCTTTCTCCTGTAGTCGTGCGTGGGTGAAGGCATGTGGCTCTTCTGCTGAATGATACAAGGGAGGCGCAATGGGCGTCCAATCGGTCTACGTTTCTGCAGCGAGGTTCAATATGGTCGCTGCGGTGCCAAAGTTCGACGTTCGAACGATGAGCTGGTTAAAGGCCGTCAGGATGTCTTTGTGTCGTAATTGCATGTTAAGAGATGACGGTGGAAGTGCATAAGTGGACGGGGATAAGCGGAGCTGTGACGCAAGAGGTCGGCGGCTGACTTGTAGACCGCTGCCGATTGGGGGACTGCCGGGGGACTGGCTGGCTGCTCGGTCTCAGGAAAGCTGGGGCCGCCGGCGAACGAGCTAGATTGAAAATCAATGAGCTAGGAAGTGTGAGCCCGTGAGTATTTATAGAGCCCCTGCTATTCCTGCTGGTAACTCACCCCCAGTGACCTCACTGGTACACTACCACCAGTAGCACTACTTTACTGCCACTATTACTATTGGTTGACTCTTACCCCTCGCCCCTGCGGAATAGAAACTTACACGTTCCCTCTCATGAATACTGCATGGATCCGTGCAGGGAAGTGAAAGGCACGTATTGCGAGCACCTGCGGCTCGTTCGAAGGTGGCCGATTATGGTATCACCCCGGCCACCCCTAGTTTACACAACTAGCTCCTCCCTCTTATGGAGAAAGATTATAATCGAGGAAATTACTGTAGCCGAACCCCAACAGTCCTTTCTCATAAGATTCCCTTACTTTTACGAGGATTTCGCCCATGCGAAAGGATTTATTTGTTGGCTTTCCTATTCAGCCCTCTATCTCTCTTTCTCTGCCTCTCTGTCTCTTTTTCCTACCTCCTCTTCGAGATTCTCTTTCGTTCCTTCATTACATCTTTCCAACATTTTCCACAAGGACTGTCGATTTTTATTCGGAATTTCTACTGGATAATTAAAAATTTCCACTACCTAGGAAGGGGAGCCTACCTGCCCCGCAGAGAAATACTACCTCGTAGCTGCGTTTCCTGGGATTCTCCTGCCCCATGTATCGCGTTAGATGTTATGGCTGAATAAGGAGGAGTACCCACTGGGAAATGGAGGGTTCTCGGAATATCCTTCTGAAATCCCGTCTTCGGAAAGTTCCTTCGCTACGTGATTTAATCAAGCAGCGGAGGGTTTTGGGTTCGGCCTACGTATCCACGTACTTTGTTTGGTGTTTACAGAGTTCCATCGTACATGGTGTAAGGCTACGCGCCAGGGTGCGTGCGGCAAGGGAGTAAAGGTGTCTCGGCTAGAGAGGTTTGGCCCTTTGAACGAATAGATGCAGGATGCAAGTAGAGAGAGAGAGCAAAGGGCGGCAGGAACTGGAGGAGCAGCTTAGCCGGAAACTTCGAAAGCTGCGATCTCAGGGAGCAAAGACTCCCTCGAATGCTGCTCCTGAAGGCTGTCGAGGGTCGCGCAGCGTTATTAATTCGCATTTATAAATCCTCCCGCAGAGAGCAGCACCGTCGTTCTACCGTTCCATTAGCGGCTGCACGTGTGGTCCATTGCCGACATACGTGCCCAGGTCAATGCTTGTGGAAAAAATGTGCAAGTACTGAATCTTCTCGAATTCTATTTTCATTAGGAGGAAACATGCAATTTCGAAATTTCAGTATTACGTATTCCGCACAAACTTTAAAGACTCTTGCATGAGGGTCTGGAGGGCAGAAGGGAGGTTGGCTTTGCAAATCGCTTCGAAAGATCATTTCGGGCCTGAGGCAGGTTAAAAATAGCTCGGCGGCAAAGACGAGCATGGCGAGCCGTGCGGCGCGTGCTTTTGCAATTCCTATCCCTTTCATGAAATCCTGCTCTGATCCAGCAGCCACGTTCTCCCGGGAGCGAAGGAAGCGTGCTGGGTGAAACCGCCAATGAGGAAGTTCAGTCGCCTTCGATGGCCGACCTGGCGCCTGCCGTTCTTCTCTCCTTTTCTTCCTCTCGGCCGTTTCGCTCGAATCTTCAGCTTGTCGACCATTCCTCTTTGCTCTTCCTGCCCCTCGCAGATTATTATTCCTACGCGAGCTCTTGCTTGCTTTTGTTCGGGTATCGCGTCGTCAAAATGTCTCTCGTGAAATTTTATAAAGAACAAATGAAGATCTGCTCGACTGGCTCGAAGGAGTCTTGTTTCCCGTTAAATCACGGGAAGCGCCAAGAGGCTTCGTTCTCTGCGTTCTTTGGCTCCTTCCGTGTGCTCGCGCACTGGCACGGCAGGATTGTTAGGAAGAGCGAAAGGGGCGCTGAGGCGGGGGGGAGAAGAAAAAGGATTTCATGAGATGGGGGAAAATCTATAAAAAGTTACGAGAACCGACAGAAAGGCGGCGGCGGCGGCGGCGACTGCAGCTAAGGCAGCATTCTTATCTGTTTGCGAGCGCCAAGGGACAATATGACTATTAACTAAACGCGAGATTAAGGATCGTTAAATCTGCCTCCCTGTGCCGCTGTTAATGAGCGTGGTCCGTCCTGACTTCTTCCATCCTCCGCCTGCTGGCATCTTCATTAAACATTAGACAATTAGACTTATCGGATTTTGCGAAAGTGGCGCGCTCTACTTATCGGCGGGGCCTTGGAGAATTAAAATGCGATCAGTTAGCTGCGTAACAAATGAAATAGGATCTCTGATGTTTCTCGAGGTATGAGGGTACTCGATAACAAAGCGAGGCTACCCGGCGGCGACAGTTCGGCTTATAACTCGAGATATAACAATAAAGACGGCGCACCGGAAGGGATCCAGAGCCTCCAAGAAGAGCACCAGCGGAACCAGCCGGAGGAGCAGTAGCGTCCGTGTTTCTGGTCAACTACCACGTGCTTCGTCAAGTACGTTTCTTCGTGTTTTTCCTTACGCAGCCCCAGCGCCGTGGCGCTGTTTATTACTAACCGATCGCAAGCAGTTTTCCCTGGATGCGCCTTTATTCCAGTGCGGTGCGCAGAGATGCACATAGAGACTAGGTAACCGTGTTGCACGGTCGACGCGAGCGAATATCGAATTTGCCGGCGGCTCGCCGCGACGCCTAATTATCGGCCAACAACAATGCTCCTACTCGCTAAATAAACGTTAAACTTGCATCCCACTCCTGCCGATCATCGCGCAACGCGCGCGCGTGGATTCCTGTAGCTGCGACTCAATCACGAATCACGGGTCACCGATCTTCCAGCTGCGATTCGACATGTGCCTGAATAGATCGATATTTTCGACAGCAAGAAAACTTTTTTCTCGATCGAGATTAGCAGAGCCTATAGAGTTCCTGGAGTTCCTGGAGTTCCTGGAGTTCCTGGAGCTGACTCGTGTATTGCAGGCGGCGCTCTTACTGCAAGTAGTCTTTGAAGTCCCTTACGATGCATAGGGGATATAATATCTTGGAGCTATAGGCAGCGCAGCCAGTCGATAGCTGTTGAGGGCTGCTCACTTTAACGGGATAGTTTAGCCAGTGATGTGGCATAATAAAACTAAGCTGAATTTTGCTTGAGCTTTTATAACGGCAGATAAGGACTTTATAAGTGTATTGTGTATAACGCGTTGCCTTTCTCCCCCTCTGCTTTTACTCCATTTATTCTGGTGCGCGTGATGGCTCGTGGCTTAATATCGTTATCGGTCGTGAATTGCTATTTAGTCGGCTTTTTTTTATACATCTCTTTTTATACCTTATGTATATCCTAATTGTAGATGCATGACCGGGCGCAATTCATGACTCGATAGATAAGCTGCTTCAATTACGTTCGATGACGAAACGGCTTAATAAGTTTCCACAACGGGCGATCATTTGTTAATGAAATTTCCATATTAATCCTCTAGCGACAGAATAATTTTTCCGTTTTTTCCTCCGACTACCATCACAATGTTTTCATGCCTACCAACCCCTGTCGGCCACCTCCGAAACCTTTTTCGAATTCAGCAGCATTGCGCCTATATTCGGCAACAAGGGAATCCCATTAAAAGTACATTAAAAAACTATTAAAATGTTGAATGTGATTCACGGAAATCCAACGGGGTGCTGGTCCCTTTGTTCACGTGGCTTTGGGCGCCAGACGCCGCGGCCCTACTCAAATTCCCTTTCGCCACAAACAGCCAACTGCTACTTGTTTCTTAAGGGTGACTTTCTTCCATAGGTCCTGGGACCTCAGTGAGCCCTGGATGGTTAGATTCGATATACCAGTAGTCCCCATTCGCCATGTGACATGACTTGTATCTAATGAATAAAGGCGAGGATTGAATCTTCCAGCTGTAGACTTCAAGTTTGCACTCCTGACTGATATGGCAATTTGTTGAAACTTTAACTAATGCAACTCTGCTGACACGCGTGCCGTATATTCAAGGGCATCCGATCCAGCATCCTGATCTTCCCCCTGCGTGTGTGTGCCGACCATCCGAATTTTCGAGTTCAACCTGACGCTATTAGTACCTCCGTGACACGTGTCCACATTGCTTTCGTACAGAGTTCATTATTGCCCGCGTAGCTATAGACTGCACTGGATATACTATTGGCTATTTCTGCACATTAGCCTCGGTAGCCGTGCCATCGCTGCCTCAGCGTCCTGCTGAAATGGGACATAAAATTTAATACGCTCCGCAGTTATTCCCATGTGTGGTCCTTCCTGAGTACTCGGACGCATTATGCAGAGCTAACTCAGCTCTCTCTCTCTTTCTCTCTCTCTCATACAAATACACACGACGAAACTATTGCACACACGTACATTAATTCACTCCTACTTCACATGGACTTTGTCATGGGAATTAAACTCGCGAGGAATTAATGGGCAAGGTCTTGGGAGCCGGAATTATTGGGGATGGACCCAGGAGACCACACGAAGCAACTTGACAAACCGTTTGAGAGCTCTGCCCCCGGGTTCCTGGTTCCGGGTTCGACCTCGGAACTAACTTTCACGATGCTTCTTGTTTCAGATCATCGATGGAAACGCGAAAACCGCAGTGAGCAATAGGAAGGATCCCGGCGTCTTCTGCGGAGAATCGGAACAACCTCAAACTTTCATCTCCGAGACGAGTTTCGTGCGAGTTCTTTTCCACGCGGACAACTTCACAGATCAGACCTACTTCAGCTTCGACTCCAGGGCCGAGCAGCAGTTCGAGGTCTACCTGAGATACGGTCAGCATCCGGAACTCTATCCTAACAGAAGAGGTGAAGTTGTTGCCGGTAGTTACTGCGAGAGAGTCTTCAAAGACTGCAAACTTCAGACCTGCTACGTGCAAAGTCCCGCCTACCCTGGTATCTATCCCAGGGCGCTCCACTGCAAGTACAGGCTGAATACGAGGCTGCCATTCATCAAGATCTACATAGAGAACGAGGAGTTCAATATAGACGGACAGCGTTGCGAGAACATAATGACGTGCCCGATGAGACCCATCAGTTCCGGTTCAGAACATTGTCCCTATGACTACATAAGGGTCTACGATGGCAAGAACGAGACCACTCCGGTAATTGGAACGTTCTGCGGCATGGGGAAATTTCCCTACAGTATCATCGGCACCAGCGAGGACCTCTACGTGGAGTTCGTCTCCTCGCCGGCCGGTCCGCTGCTCAACACAGGATTTCACTTCAACGTAGGCAATTGGCCAGGACACGTCGAGACGGCCGGCGTCAAGAACGGCAGCTGCGATTGGCTGCTGAACAGCGAGTCCCTCGTTAGTGGCGAGGGCATATTTCTCTCGGTGGCCCACTGGTATCCGCCGCACACAAGTTGCACCTACTTGCTAAGGGGAAAACCCGGCGAGATAGCCAGACTCTACTTCCCCAGCTTCCGGGTGAATCGCATAGAGTCTCCCATTCAGCCGTACGACGGCGACTGTGGCGAGAGCTTGACGCTCTACGACGCCGATTGGCCTGACGACGCCAGGATCATCAAGACCTTCTGCGACACCTTCAGCAGGCCAATGGAGAAGCATGACTTTGTTTCCACTTCGAATGCTCTCTTCGTAAGATTCGAAAGCAAGACCGGCAGCTATTCTGGAAGTTCTCTCTACTACTGGGCGCACTACGACTTCTTTAACGCGACGAAATTCGGCGACCCGGTGCCGAATACCGAGTGCGACGAGAGTTTCGTCTCCTGGAAGACCCAGTCCGGCTACCTGAGGTCCCCATTGAACACTCTCGTTTACAAACGATCTGGGGATCCTCCGGCAGATCTCACGTGCACCTACAGCTTTGTCACCGACAAGCGGCTCTTTGCCAGGGTGATCGTGACTCTCGACGTGGTCTCCCTGAAGGAGCACTACGCTCAGTGTGGAAACTGCTGGGACAGCAGGGCGGACCGCGTCATCCTGAAAGACACTGGACCAGACGCAGGAAAAGGACACTGCGTGTGCAAACTTCCCAGTGGCAGTCCAGCCCTGAGGATGGTTTCGAGGGGGGAGAAGCTCGACCTGAAGCTACTGGTGGACGGCGCTCACGCCGCGGGCTACTTCAAGCAATCCGCGCCGCTCTTCGAGGCGAGATACGAATTCGTTCACAGTCCCTTATGCGGACCCGCCTTGCTTCCAGCTACAACGGACGGCGAGATCGAATTTCCACACTACGAAGCTCTGGGGTACGTCACGCCACCCAGGTCTATAAAGTGTATATGGGAATTGCGCGTCAACCAGGAGCGCGACCTCTGGCTGCACTTTGAGAAAATTAAATTTGCATCGCGCTCCTGCGAGGATGGAAAGCTGGAGATATTCTTGCCGGGGCAGGCTGAACCTTATCGTGGGATATGCGGTGAGAACGTTAGCTACGTCAGAGAGATGCCTATACTCGCAGCCGAGCAGCTGGTGCCAGCTGATACCACCGGGGCTGAGCCACCGGCTGTTATCATACAGTTTACCGGTTCCATGGCGCCAGCCAGGGCGGCCTTCAAGATCGCCTGGACCGAACTGTACCATCTCCCACGTGACGGATCGGGAGCTCTGAACACGCAGAAACTCGAGGATTGCGGCTTCCAGTGTCCCGGTGAATTTGGCTGCATTCCAGCTAGGCTCTTGTGTAACGGTGTCGTGAACTGTCCCACTCCGGCCATTCCTCCGGGAGCCTACAACCTCAGCATCCTCGAGCCTGACGACGAATCCGTCGAGACTTGCGGCGGCCCTGTGGGTGCTGGCAGCGGCAGCGTGGTGGGCCCTGCGGGTTGGGCTGGTGCTGGATTAGGCGCTGGACTCGCGATGCTTCTCGGACTCGCGTGTCTCGTTGCAGTCTGCAGGATCTGCCGACGTCGGAATCGTTCCAGGGACATACACGTGCCATACTAGAGTCCTCGCCGAACTCTCGGAACGCCTTTGGCTTACGGCCGAACTTTCAAGTTGGCATCCTGCAAGCTGAACTCATTCCGATAACTTTCTCATCTAGTCCTTATCCTTTCTTTTTTGTTTACTTTTTCTCCTGGGAGTAATCCGTTAGACTGTGACGTGTCCCATTGCCCTTATTAGGGCCAGAAAACTCAAACACCTGGACGAGAGGAGCGACTCTTGGAAGTACAGGAATCCTTAGAGCAGTCTTTGAGGACACGCGGTGTTTTTTGAAAGTCGGTGAAAGACTAAGGAACGTCCATCGAGAGAAAGGGAGAGAGAGAGAGATTCTCGAAATAAAAAAAGGACATCGACAGGATATAAAGGATACCTTTAGGTATTGTGCAATTCGCTTGAACCTTCCTCCTCTGCTGCAGCTAGTTTAACGTTCTTTCCAAAGAAGCGACCCGGTCGGTAGAACTTGTCGCCTCGAACTTTCTCGTCCGCTGCACGCCTTTAATTCCGGCTCTGGACTAATTAATAATTAAATAATTAATTAGCCGAGTTTTCATCTCTCACCCCCGAGGCTCCTGTCACTTGACAGGCACGGACCCTCCTCCTCCCCTCTTTGATTTCCTGCCACCCCCTTGTTCCTACTTTACATCCCCACTTGCGTTCGAACTACTTCGAACTGACTTTGAAATTTCTCAATTCCCTCATTCCCACATTTATTCCAATCCCACGCGTATCGGCCAATTTCCCATAAATCTCAAAATTCAGCAAACCTGACTTTTCCTTCCCTCATTGCGATTATTGCGAATCGCAGCGCGGAGAACGTCAGGGCGTGAATGATAACGTTCTATCGATTAGCCGCGTCGTTTTTACATTCGCACCGAGTATATTCTAACGTCTCGATATTCTTGGATGGAATGTCAATCGAGTGAATAATCATCTAGGTGCGGAAAGGAAGGAGTTACATTCTCTGTAATTCGGTAAAACAACCGGAAAGAAGCTTTCTTCCTTTTTTTCCGGAACAGGAGTTTAATCACGATTCGAAATGTCTCTAACGCAGCTTCCGGGAGACTCATCGTACAAGCAATTCTATCACATGAAAGATCACGTCTGCGCGAACAGATTTCCCTTCTTTCGTTAGGCTGGAAAGGAGTTGGCCGAATTTACGGTACGGCCAGAGCTCCGGCGCCCTCGGTGGTTCAATTCTGTGCTGCGTTATTGGTATCTGCTCGAGACATAAATTTAAGCGTAGCTGTGGCCCATTCACGAGGGTCCTTGCAGCCGGTAAGGTGGAGGCTATACTCTTTGTCGCCCGTTAGCCAACCCCTTAATGATCTTATACTGCGTTAATTAGCGACGCGTTAATTAATACGCTTGGAAGGAACGAAGGGATACATGCGTGGATAATGTAGACACAACCCGTGAGACCCGAAGACGACAATGACGAAGGACTATCCATTTTCTTCTACGGAAAACAAAACAAAAGACAGAAAGATTCCTTGCTTCTGTGACGTATCTTCGCACGTACAGACATTCCTCCGAGCGATAATTTTGATAACCCTCCGAAACTCGAAACTTTCGCACTGACCATTTCCAAGGGAAAGTATCTTCCCTGGTGAAGATATGACATGGAAGTAGGTTGCAGTGTCAAGTGGCGGCGACAAAGAAGAGACGAGAGGGAAGGAGGGAAGAAGGAAAAGAGACGTGAGAGAATACTCGCTTGTAAATAGCCCGTGTTTATGTAGATGTAGAGGACAATCATAGACGTACACGCAACCTCCCTCTCCCACCTCCCCCTCCCTTCACACACACACACACACACACACACACATGGTATGAATAGTTAACGAATTGTCAACGTAAAATACATCGCATTATCGTGTAATTACTACTGTAACAATGATTATTATATTTTTTACAAATAAAGTGCGCGGCTGGATTTCTTGCGCGGCCATTAAAAGAAAAGAAAAGCAACGTTAATTTATAATTTGACCACTGTCCATAAAAAGGAAGGCGATTGATCGACTGATCTTGATTGAAACGTACTTCAGTGCTTCCTGTAAAAGTCAGGGCCTTTCGTCGGCAAAATAGTTGAGAACCTTTCATCGGGATAAGGCATTCGTTTGATGAACTTTAAAAGGAGGATCAGTGTCCTCGGCTCCTAGCGTTTCGCTAAAGGTGTCATTCTACCTTGATTCTCTTTTACAGGAACAACTTGACATCCTGGCTGTATAATGTTATTACCCACGCACTAGGTGAATGCTACGTGCAAAAACTCCTCGTGCAAATTCAGAGGCAGATCTCAACATGCAAATTACCACGTTGTCACGAAATTTTTCGTTTCACATCCGGACGTAATTATTTTCAGGTCTCATCCGGTCGGCCAGACGTCAATCGGTCTCTCGTGGAATTTCTTCAGGTTTCCCAACCCCATCCGTTTCCTATTACTGTATTCCATTGGAGGATTTCACAAAGTTCCCAACTTTCCATTCCGCATATTGAGTATCTAGAGCACAAACGACGCTAATCCGATGATCGATCACGTCAATGTCAACCGGATGCCTGATAGTCACTCTCCCTTCCGTTTCGTACACTTTCGAACGGGCACCCTTTCACCCTTTCACCCTTTCGCACGGCTGCCTCCGCAACAGGAAGCTTTTCCTTCCCCCTTAGAGCAGAGTTAAACCATCGTGAATTCTACCACAGCGAACTTACCCTTCGCGTCGATGAAATTTCTCCTTGGAGGCTGCCTCGAACCCAAATCTTCGAAACTTTGCCGGTTAAGCCATTAAATCTCATTACAGTTTGCGACGGAAGACACAGGGAGACGCAGCATCTTCCGGCGAGCGTGATCGTCATCAACAGGGACCAGGTTCACTGATCCAGCAAGGAACTAAGGGGAGTAATTCAAATACGGCAGATTGTCAAGTTTTAACAGTTGGCCGTTGCAGCAGAATCTTGGACAATGGAACGACGCCAGTGGTTGCCAATGGTTGCCAACGGTTGCCAGCGGTAGCTGCTTCGATTGTCCCGAGTTTTCGTGTATCTGGAATCTAGGCAGCCCTACCTTCTCTATCCACTCTCCCTGTATCTTGAATTATGTAACGCGGTCCGGTGGCGTTGAGTCGAGTTCTGCTCTTGTCGACCCTCACCGGATTAAGGAGGTTTCGAGCAACGGTGGAAATTCTGGAGATTTCATGTAGAGAATGTTTGATCTATTCGCACCCGTGAAGTGCCTCCTGAAGGAGGAGCCCGTGCAAGTCGATGATTTGGTCTTCAGACTGCATTCCAAAGTAACTGTACTCTTCCTGGCTGTGTGTGCCATCCTGGTCACGGCTAAGCAGTTCGTCGGCGATCCTATAACCTGCATTACGGATTCCAGTATAGGTAAGGGATAATGAGATCCGCCCAATGCGTCCAGGACGCGATACCTCGATGCACCGAGCAGCCTCCGGCCACTTTTTCTCCTTCGCTTTTTCTTATTTTTTTGCTGCTTCCTTGTCTCGCGCAGAAAGGACTACGATGGCTTTAAATTATATTCCAAGTCATTCCGTTGAGCGCGGGCTAAACGTTTTCCGATAGTCGGAAAATACCATTTCTCTCTGGCGCTGTGCGAGCCGCTCTTTTTACTGTAAGGGTTGGGACTGGCCAGGAGTCGAGGCCACTACGAGCTTCCGAATTAGCACATGGTGGAGCATCCTCGGGAGCAGCTGGCTGGAGACGCTCTGAAAGGTGCTCGTGAAAAGGAAAACACGAGCGACAAACAACCCGCTTTTAAATTAAAGTGTCACTCTTTCGGTCAGGTATTTGCTGTCGCTTGGAGGATGTGCAACCGGAAGAGAAGAGTCCCCGGGCTTCAATGTCTACTTCCTTTTCGACCCAGGCCACTTAGTGTAGCGTAACAGGAGAGTCGGGGTTCGGACGACACTTATATTATCCAATTCCAGTCTCATATTAGCGTTTCCCCGCATTCCTGCGAGCCGCCCTGCGCGTTCCTTTGGCATTCCCGTTAACTCGCTGCATAGTATCATTACATTGATTAATTATACTCTCTACGTAAATTTACCGCGTAGGGAATGCACGCCTCGTATCGCCCTGAGATGTTGCAACTTTTATCGACTTTGCATGCGCACGGCTTTTCTCTTGCTATTGGCTCCGTAGGGAATCTCAATAATAAAGGACTCTCACGCTCTTTCCGCTTTCTATTCCTGGAAATCACTCACGCCGTGCGCTCTGCTTCGCTTGGATAGATTAACGAGAGATGCAGCCTTCTACACCACTTTGGGTACAATTATATCGCTGATATTTAGTTTGTATTTCATGTCCCATCACGTTAAGCGCACCCTGTGCTCTGCCTACCTAAAAGTGAGATACTCATTCAAAATTCAATTGACAATGACAACCCGCCACCTACCTTCCCAGTTTGACCAATTTTACCATCCAGATAAAGAACCCATAAACGCCTACTGCTGGATCTACAGCACGTTCACAGTGTCGAGACATCTAGCCGGTATTACTGGTCGCGAAGTTGCCAGTCCTGGCGTAGGGCAGGTTCTTCACGACGACGAGATACACCATCACCGCTATTATCAGTGGGTCTGTGTTTCATTCAGTGCGCATAATCTTAATGGCCTCTTATGGTTTTCTATATTGGTAAAGCTACTATTGCCGGTTAACACTGAGATCCATTGGTTCGATGCAACAGGTCTGCTTCGTCCTGGCCCTTCAGGCTATCCTGTTCTACTTACCACGTGCCCTCTGGACCATCTGGGAGCGGAACACCGTGTGGTTCCTTTCGCGGGATCTCTCCTCGCCCTTCCTCAGGGACGCCTGGACGACAGACAGGAAATCACAGCTCGTCGAGTACTTCACCAGCAGTGATCTTCACTCCCGCAACTTTTACGCCCTTCGCTACTTCACCTGCGAGTTCCTCAACTTCTTTAATGTAGTGAGTGCATCCCCTTCTCTACCGTACGAGATAAAGAGAAAGGATTCGGCCTTTTCATCTGGGCGGCACCAGTGAGTTTTTCCCGAACGACTAGGCGCAATGACGAACCGCTCGTCCTACGGTTCCTTCCTCTATTCCATTCTCCCTCTCCTTTTCTCCCGACCTGTTCCTCTCTTCCTCTTTATCTTCTGTAGGTTGCCCAGATATACCTTCTCGACCTCTTTCTCGAGGGACAGTTTACAAAGTACGGACCTGCCGTTGCTGCCTTCGCCACGGAGACGAATCCTTTTCAACGAGTAGACCCAATGGCCAGGCTTTTTCCCAAAGTCGCCAAATGTACGTTTCACACCTTCGGATCGGCTGGCTCGACACAGACACACGATGCTCTTTGTGTGCTCCCGCTGAACGTTGTCAACGAAAAGATCTTTGTGTTCATTTGGTTCTGGTTTTTTTTTTTGGCTGTTATTGGGGCCACTATGCTCATTTACAGGTACGAAGCTCGTTCCTGGTATTCGTCATATCGAAGTTATTGACTTGGCATAATTTGAAGTTTTATTTTATTAATGTTAAAACAACAAACGATGTGGAGACATTGCTTTTACATTATGCATTTTCTTTGCAACCAGGATAATAGTATTCTCGCAGCCTTGGGCTCGTATATACTTGCTGCGAGCATCGGCTAGGGTTATGTCTCACACGATGGCGGAAACCGTAGTTCGGACACTTCAATTTGGTGACTGGTTCCTCCTGCAGCAGCTTGCTCACAACCTCAATCCTATCATCTACAGAGAGCTCATCCGTGAATTGGCGAGAGAATTTGATAAAACAATTAATATAGTTTAACTGTGCTAATATTGTTGGATATTCGCACTAAGTTACTTTTTCAATTTGTATCAGTTAAACCCATCAATAAATGGCCGTAATCGTATAGCATTTATATTTATTGTATTTGATTATCGGTAAGCTTATGGTAATAGTAAATTACAACAGTATTTTACCGCTGAGTGGGGTTATAATACGTTACGAAATTTATTTTGGTTGGGAACGTCATCCTTTTTCTTTCCCCTCTGTATACTTTACTCAGGGTACTAACGTAATCTAGTCCTTATTGTCCTATCTAGCGGTAAAATGATCGAACTAGAGGAGTGAGTCATGCTACGGAGTACAATGATTTCGAGAATAGGACCTCTGCCAGTTTGCAGATGGCGTTAATGCCTTATTCGTATTTTGCTCGGATAGAAGATAGCAGTGCCCTCTTGGTATGGTATATTTAAAAGCTGAAAACTGATCACAGCTCTGTTGGGAAACTCGGGAACTTTGTGGTACGATGAAGCCGACACGCTGTGAAGACTGGCACATCTCATTGAAGGAGAAAGCCAAAGAAAGTCAAAAGCATCGACGTATAGCATGGACTACGCATAGACATAGCAAAACGTGGTCGGCTGCAAGAAAGAGGTAGTGACTGGTGGCGGCCAAGCCTTGTCTCGTTCTAGTCAGTAGCGTAGTAAGATGTTTGAGGACACCGAACATAATAAGGTTTTTGCATTATAATATTAAAATTAAATTCTAAATATTCGTATTGTTTTCTAGATTTCATACAAGCGCTGTCTGATCTATTAGTACGTTCTATTTATTGTTATTTTCATATATTTTAGACATTTGGAAACTAAGTTTTTTATATAATTTTCGGAAAGTGAATCGTGGGAAAAGGTAACAATATGAAAGAATTTATATGCATGATGTATTTTTGGCATATCGCGATATATTTTTGTTACAAAATTAATAATTAATCGTTTAACACAGTTTTACATATACAATTTTCCATCTTACAAGTCGAAATAAACACTACGCCAAACAATTTATAAACGAAGGGATTAGCGTCTAACAGTACGTTCTTGAGATCCTCTGAGCAATAAAAAAGTAGCCAATAGGAACTTTAGAAAAGGAAAGCTATTGGCCGCCACCTCACTTCCGCTTTGTCTATTCGAGCCGACACTTTTTCAATGAGCTCACAGTACGGATCGCGTAGTTCATGCTATATGTCGATGGTGCCACCCTATTCCTGGAAAATGAAATTGAGATCTATAAAGTTTGATCGCATCGCTCGCACCCTCAGGAATCATCACCTATCGCCACCTGGCAGTGAATTGTGTCTAGTGAATGAAAACGAATAGCGTGGTCAACTCTAATCATTGGTGAGTGTTCTACGGCGGTGAGAACTGCATGCAGACCAGTCAGGCAGCGCAGGGCGGCTTGTCGCCATTTTGTTTATTTTCGCGTAAAAGTGGTTCGACCGTGCGAAGAAATCGGCTGTTTGCGAGCCTGAAGACGTAAAAGGGGTCGTGAGGAGAATCAGTGAGAAATTCTGTAAGATTCGGGAAGAAATCTCGTGCCTAATTTGATCGTCCAGAGAGATCGCAGTAACTTCGAGATCCTCGAGACGCGTATACTCTCTAAAGAACCAGATACATAGATACCGCAGTGTAACGCGCCGGTCCGACGATCGGAAAACCGTTTTCAAGACGTATAGCGGGGTAACCGAAGACAGTGATTTAGGAAGGAGTCTTATAAATTTGTATTAGCCTGAAAGGCACGAAGTGATCGTGCAAAGGTACAGGCTCTTTCAATAAGAAAAGGCTAACGTGAGAGAGATAGAATTATAAGGGCTGGGTGAGGAAGAGGGAGAAAGAGTGCGCCCGTGTTGCGTGCGTGCGAGAGAGTGAGAGAGAGAGAGAGTCAGAGGAAGAAAGAAGAAAAGAAAGAGCAAAGACAGAGAGTGAGAGTAACGAGAAACGCAATCCAAGAATTTCCTCTAGGGTGGAATATATGCTGTGGGCGTCCCCCGAGAAAGCGGGGGCATACGACGGCCGCAGAAATTGGGCGAATTGCAAGCAAGTACCAATCGTCCTCGTGCGGTAAAGCGACGTCGCCGTCGGGCCGCAGCAGTGACGTGGGTGGAGACTTTACGGCAGCTGGTACGGAACCGGCGAACAACGTCAAAGAGGTCAGGGATAATCAATTGCAAGAAGATCAAGAACTGCAGCAGCAACATCTTCAAAGGAAAAATACCCTCCAGCATCCGCTGCCGGTTCTGCCACGAGAGGCTCCTGTCTTGCCAATTCAAGTATCTGTAGAAGTGACCTCGTCGGCGCAAGCCGTCCGCGAGGTTTTCGGCGCAGACAAGACGACCATCAACATTGGCATCGCAATGAACCACGTTAACGATAAAGAAAACCTGAACCAGCTCAACGCTACGCCGGTCCAGGTGAACGAAGTTGAGGAAATGGATACGCAGGAGGGTATGTTGTAATAACATGATGGTTACATACTTATTCATAATTGGGAGTACTCGTCAGTGCGTGCTGAAAACTTGTTTAAAGGAGTGATTGTGCTTGGTTATGGAGCTCCTTGTTTCAAGATATTTTTATTTTGTTTTGTTACTTGATTCTGGTAGTCCACAAATTTGGCCAGAGATTTCTCTTGATGTTATTCGTGAAACAGTAAGGGGTCATTTTTGCTAGATCATTAATGGTTGTAGTATTCAACTGTTGATTGAAGATGTCACAACATCATCCACATCTATCTACTGTAAAATAAAAGAGAACATTATTAGAAATGCAAACTACTTGGAATTATAGATGCTGGATTGAAAAACCAATTTACAAATGATGGGAAGTATATTTTTCATCTTATCGGATGCTTTTTTTTATCTGCTGTTTTGTATGTATATATCAGACAAGGATTGCTTGGTGAGATTGAAATAACTTCATTATTTGCGTGTATACTATGAATAGGCAGTTTCGTTTCACCTTTGCTACGGATATATAATAAAAACACAGTCCAAAGCAAATTGTCTTTAAAATACAAAAATCTGAACCATATATCTATCTAAGGATTGGTTGTAAGTCAAATACAAATCAAATCTCTTAAAGAATCAGATAATTTGGTGCTGTTCTCAAGCTCAATACTATTAGTATTGTTTTAATGAATCACACAAATTTTAGTTTTATTAGTGAGAGGCTGTATGAAGTAGTAATCGGATAGGATTTATTGATAATCACAGATCTAGCTTGATTTCCTCTTCCAGTGAACGTCAAAGCTTTCCTTTTAACGTAATTTGTTCCTACGATTACTCTCAATAATAAAGAAAAGTATTTTTTTTTTTCGTAAGTAATATTGTCCCGATAGGTTTTTGCCGCGTAACTTTACATTGACCTATAGTTAAATCTGTAGAAACACCAAACGACGGAGGGGGCGACGGAAACGAGACACGAGCAATCAACGGGGAGCCCGAGCTGGCGTGTATCGTGCAAGATCAGGACATGGAGGAAGGTGCGAGATCATCATCCAGATAAACAACAAATCCAGACCCATTTCTTCTAATCTCTCCCTTTCAACTCTAATAATTCATTTGGTTGTCTTTTCATTTTACCTGGAGATGTTATACCTGCAACCCTGCATGGCCCGTCTACCTTGTTAACTTTAATTCAATCCATCGATTCAATGGACTCTGGGAAAGAAATAATCATCATGTACTATTTGATTCCGTGATATATATATATATAATATATAAACTATAGGAAAATTGGAATGGTACAGTTTGGAGAACATATTACGCCGTGGATACGAGTCACCAAGAGCACCGACTAAGCAGTAGAGAGTACAGTGAACGCGTAAATGCACCCACTATAACCGAATTTCTAAAAATAACAAAAACCACGCGTCGATCTTGGCTCCTCACGCATTATAAGTAAATCTCTTGTGGTCGTTGCACAAAACTTACAATGTTTATATAGTAATTTAGATTTTAAGGGTTTCCTTAAATTGCATTTATTAATCTACTTTGAAGAATCTTTGTATCCTAATAGCCTCTTTCCAATGAGTCTTAAGAATTTTTCTACAATTTCCTGGGTGCACGCTCTGGCATAACTAGCAGTAGATCCTCTTGATTCAGTTTGCAAAAGATGGATTTCTTGTGTATTTTGTTTCAGACGAGGCTAGGTCTGAGGCGACCTTTCGGTACACAGTTGAGAATGTATCCAAGATGAAGGATTCTCAACTATCACCCCCTTGTTATGTTCGGAATCTACCATGGAAGATTATGGTGATGCCAAGAATGAGTCAGGCTCAGGAGCGACAGTCACAGAGGTCTCTTGGATTCTTTCTCCAGTGCAACGGCGAGAGTGAATCGACTTCTTGGAGCTGTTACGCCATTGCCGAATTACGTTTATTGTCACGCAAGGAAGGCCAGGAACCGTTCAGTAGAAGTGCGCTTGTCTTAAATTATGTCAATTGATAATTTTCTCTAAAAAAATATCGACCCTTATCGTTTTCTTTCGACTCTTTCAGAAATACAACATCTTTTCTACAGCAAAGAAAATGATTGGGGTTTCAGTCATTTCATGACTTGGCAGGAAGTTTTGGATCCTGAAAAGGGATATATCAAAGATGATTCCATCACGCTGGAGGTAAGTAGGATATTCATTGCGACTGAGGTGAATTTCGTCTCGCGATGTTTAGACCTTACCTTATCGCTTTTCACATTGGGAAATGTATGTAATTTTTACATGTCGGGAATTGTAATTGAGATAGAATTCTGGGGCTTCTAAATCGATATCCTCAAAAGCTCTAGTTTAGCCAATAGAAACGGAGTTTTTCTAGACGACTTCATTGGGCTAGTTTCTATTTAAGTCAAATTCGATTGAAACCCAATGTTCACGCTTGCCTACTTACTTCTTTATTACGCGTGAGTCTCCTTTGTTTGTTAATTTATGCAAAGCATGTCTTTTCCGAGTTTCGTTCAGTAATCGACTAAGATGTCGGACATAAAGAGCTCAGTCAAATACTCGTAGTGTCATGTTTCTCGAATCTTGGAAATATATCTGTATATCTATTGTATCATAATATCACAAGACTTCCTGGTATGGCTGTGCTTATAAGATTCAACAGATGGATGAAGTGGCTAAGAATCTACATATATCGTCTAATAAATTCTAAGTTCAAGGTCTAAAATATTTTGAAAGTCATCGAAGTTCTGTGATATCTAATAATAACGTTCATTCTAATTATGTCCATTGCGTTCGTCTCAAATTATTTGCGTAATAGAAACGAATTTACAAGCGTATTGAACTCTCATTGTTTGCAATAATTTATAGGTTCACGTTGTGGCGGACGCACCACACGGTGTTAGTTGGGACAGCAAGAAACACACAGGGTATGTAGGACTGAAGAATCAGGGCGCCACGTGCTATATGAACTCTTTACTTCAAACTCTCTATTTCACAAATCAGGTAAGTTTATCAAGATTTGTTCGTTTTAATAGTCACAATTTATTTCGATATCTTACCGAATATTTGGATAAGATTTGGATCATGAGTGAGCTTGGATTTCATTGAATTATACTTTTAGTTGCGGAAGGCGGTATATAAAATGCCCACAGAAAGCGACGACTCGAGTAAAAGTGTAGCCCTGGCGTTGCAGAGGGTCTTTCACGAGTTGCAGTTTAGCGACAAACCCGTCGGCACTAAAAAGTTAACCAAGAGCTTCGGTTGGGAAACACTGGACTCTTTTATGCAGCATGATGTTCAAGAGTTTCTACGTGTGGTAAGAAGCTATTTAACGGGAAAGAGAATCTACTCGATGGGAAAGGTGCTGATAATGATTGTCCGCAGCTCCTTGATAAATTGGAAAGTAAGATGAAGGGAACTTGTGTGGAGGGTACAGTGCCAAAGTTATTCGAAGGCAAAATGGTGTCTTTTATCAAGTGCAAGGACATTGACTACACGTCGACTAGAATCGAGACATTTTATGATATTCAGTTGAATATAAAGGGCAAGAAGAATAGTGAGTTATATCCATGTGTTTCTTTTTGTACTTAAAATTTAATATGTTTATTAATTCTATTTTTGCCCTCAGTTGACGAGTCTTTCAGAGATTATGTGAGCACAGAAAATCTTGATGGCGATAACAAATATGATGCTGGCGAGCATGGCTTACAGGATGCCGAAAAGGGTGTGATTTTTTCTTCCTTTCCACCCGTTTTACATTTACACCTGATGCGCTTCCAGTACGATCCTGTCACGGATTGTTCTGTCAAATTTAACGACAGGTTCGTCACCCTATGTCATGAGTATTTCAAGGTATGTTGAGATAACAAGGATGTTTTTTTGCTGTGCAGATTCGAATTCTACGAAAAAATCAGTCTCGAACCATATCTACAAGCTGAAGAAGCCACGAGAGCGGATTACACATTACACGCTGTTCTGGTGCACAGTGGTGACAATCATGGTGGACATTACGTTGTGTTTATTAATCCAGCTGGAGATGGAAAGGTGAGTACGCAATTTTACCTTTCGGCTAATTATTTTATCGCTATGTAATTATCGTTATCATTATCTGTCTACTTATGATATCAATTATAAATATATCTCCCTTTCTTGCACAACAGTGGTGTAAATTCGACGACGACGTTGTATCACGGTGTACGAAGCAGGAAGCTATTGAGCACAACTATGGTGGCCAAGATGAGGATATGTCTATGGCTGTGAAGCATTGTACCAATGCGTACATGTTGGTCTACATAAGGGACTCAGAGCTGAAAAACGTCCTGCAAGAGGTTACAGAAGAGGACATCCCTCAAGAGGTCAGAAACGTCCTTCAAAGAGAGCTTTCCCAGGAGTTGAACGACTTAGACCGTGACAAAGACACGACTGACGCTAATAGAGATACTCACACGGATAATACGAGTCTACGTCCAACCACGCAGAATCCTCGTAATCCAAATCTTTATATTCATGATTTTTAAACGCTCGGGGCGGAATCCCAAAAACAGATGAAATACGCTCGGAGACAAACTTTTTAAATTGGCTATAATTTTCCTTTCGTATTTAAATGCTTTTTAAGGGCGCATTGTCGAAATCACTTGCGGGATCTACACGTTTAATATTGTCGAGTCCAGATTTGATGAAGCAAAAGAATCATTGTAAAGGAAAGAAGAGTGAGAACATTTTTTAAGATCAAAACTGATGATTTATTTGGATTTTGTCTCTATCGATATAAGAGGAGTAATATTATCTTGTGAGGAGTTGCCCTTAGGTCGCTGATAATTGATGGTGCTGTCGAATATCGATTTTCTCTTTGCACGCTGTGCTGCATCTCGGGACATGTTTTACCAGAGGGACTGAATTTCTATAGTATATCGACTTTTTGGGAACACTGATAAGGGAAGAGACTATCAAAATTATTTATAAAATCTAATTGACAAGACATAGAACGTTCTATGTGTACAGGAAATTGGAACAAAAGATTTTAATTCCTTGTTAATCGCAGAACGCGTGGACATTCGAAAATCGGTTTCGGAATGATTTTTGAAGATGCTTAGAGTAATTAAAAAAATTGTATAATACGTTAAATGCTAATCGACATAATTGTATTATAGTTAATGGAGGACTCTCGAGTGTAGAGAATTTCGTGATGTCGCTTAATTATTTGAAAATCGAATGAATTATTATCATGGCGATCGTGGGTTTTCCTTTTTAATAGACGATCACTGACTGATTGGATTGATGAATGCCGATCCATGGGAAAATATTAAGATTCCTCAAGCGTAATCAATTTACAGGATTTACACGATGACGAAGATAATGGGAATAATTAAGTTAAAAAATATGCATTGTTGGCACACTCTACTAAGTCCAATATGTACGTCCCTATATAAGTTCATTGCACATCCAGAGTACTTTTGAGGGATGAACAAAAAGAACATAGATAAATTTTAGAAACATCAGCTTCCTTGATATGTCTTCTTATAATGTATTTGTTATTTAAATAGGATTGTTTAGCGAGCGCGTCCTAATGTCATTTATATAGATGAGATAAAATCGCGACTTCCAACGACGAGATGAACGTTTATCATTGTTTTTACTGGCATGTGAAACTGACTCTCCCTGCCTTCGCTTCTTTGGAGCTGACAAAGACAGATGCAATCAGTAAAGAGCTAACAGAAAAAGAGACAAAGAAACACAAAATCGACCGAACGAACATAGATACGATCGAGCGCGTCGTTAAACCATAAAATTTGTTCAGTGTTGATAGTGATTACGAGTATTAACAGATGCTTACCTATTTATTTGTTGTTATCTATGAATAAACAAGAGAAAAGAGTACAGAGTATCATCGATGGAATAAAATAATGTATAATGGCTGTAATCGTGAGATCCCTTTTAAATGCTCTACCAATATAATATTATGTTTCAATTAAAACCAGAAAACAACCGAGTGACAGGCAGGTGAAAGTAAAACAGAGGCTACAAAGAGATACTGTGACACAGAATAAAATATCGGGAATTTTGAGATGATTATTAACGGTTGGAGCCCACTTTGTCTAGACTATTTTTTTTTTAAGTTTCCCTATAAGACTGCGTCTTCATTGAATCACTAAATTCATATGAACTTTATATTATATTTCCTTACTGTTGATGTTACATGTTACTGTATATTAATTATTCAGCATAGTCGATCTTTGATGATTGGATCAAATGAAATAATTAAATGACTGAATAATAATATCGATTTCGTAACCTGTAACATATCGTATCGTTTTAATAACGGCAGATAAACAAAATTAAAATTACTTGGATACACGAAGAAAAAAAATAGTTATATTTTTGTCCAAAGTAAAAAAAAAAAGGAGAATGTGAAAACGGGCAGCTATCAGAAATGTATTATGTGAAACGAGTATTAGTTGGAAAAATGAAAGAAATGCATAGAGTAAAGAACGATAGAATGAAACTAGAAGATTGTGACGATTCGAGTATTCTGTACACCTGGATAATTTTAATTTTGTCGGTCTAGCTGGGGGAGAGGCTGCAAGAGGAGAAGAGGCTGGAAGTGATAAGAAGAAAGGAAAGAAATGAAGCGTACTTGTACATGACAGTTAACGTCCTTCTCGAGGACAGCTTTGATGGTCACCAGGGCAACGATCTCTACGATCCAGAGCGCGCTCTATATCGCGTATTCCGCGTCCGTAAGCAAGCTACTCTACACGAATTTCTTGAACTTCTCAGCGACAGTTTGGTGAGTTTATTTCTTTGTACTTTTCACCCTTATCAGGCATTTTTATTGATGTTGATAGATCTCTTGTCTGTTACCTTAATTATATCTCATTTACTTATTTTGTTCGACTAATAATCATGTTTCTTGTCTGTATTCACAGAAATATCCAGTGGAACAGATACGGGTTTGGCCCTTTAGTCATCGTTCAAATCAGACCTGCAGGCCCACTCTCATTGAACCGGAACCGGATCTTCAGAAAGCTGTTACCGAGTGTGCAGAAACTGCAAATCCCTGGACAGTATTCGTTGAGCTGGTCCCTCCGGATTCTGGCTTAACTGCACTTCCGTCTTTTGACAAAGACACTGACGTTTTATTGTTCTTCAAATTGTACGATCCGAAAAATAAGAAGATACACTATTGTGGCCACCATTATATGCCGGTTACGGCCAAAGTTCGTAAGTGGGGAAACGCATTATTTTCAATAGTCAATCTCGGTGTTTCATTTCCTCTAATGAATTAGACCTTAGATACACCTGCCAACGGTCTAGTTTGACTTGTCCTATTTCAATTCTATTTCAATTGGAGGACATAGTAAATATGAGAAGCAAATGACAAATAATCAATTTTTCAGTTTTCTTCCTAATCTTTTCAAGGTTCTTTGCCTCATTCTGTTGCTTATTTATAAGAACACTGATAATAATTCGTAGGGGGTTCCGATAACCCAACTGATCTCTGACATAGACTGATAAACCATTCCACCGTGGTTTTCAATCATATCCATTTTATTCTTGCGTTTTATTCTACCGAATTGTGTTGTTTAGCTGAAAAAGAAAAACAGTAAATATGACAGAGTATCAATTTTATTTTGTGCAGAGGAACTGATACCAATTTTGAACGAAAGAGCTGGTTTCCCACTGGATACAGAACTGGCACTATACGAAGAAATCAAACCGAACATGGTGGAGAAAATAGAAAACCTTACAGAGGCTCTAGAAAAGGTTCTTGAGGAGTTGATGGATGGTGATATAATTGTATTCCAGAAAGAGGAACGTGATATCGAAATGTATGAATTACCAACGTGTCGAGATTACTTTAAGTACGTACCATGCGTTCTATTATAGAACAGGTTTTCTTGATTTTATTAACCCTGATTCTACTTAATGTGCTCCATATCCGATTTCAGGGATCTATTCTATAGGCTAGAAGTAACTTTCTGTGACAAAACAATACCAAACGATCCTGGCTTCACAATGGAACTTTCTCAGAGAATGACATATGATCAGATAGCAAAGGCAGTGGCTCAGAGGCTGGGCACAGATCCATATCTTTTGCAATTCTTTAAATGTCAAAAGTAGGTAAAGTGATATAAGCACGAGAAAGGAGTTTTTCGAAATATTTGTAAATTTCTTTTGTCTAGCTATAAAGATTCGCCAGGTAACCCGTTAAAGTGTACGTACGAAGGAACGCTGAAGGATGTCGTGACCTTTTGCAAACCAAAATCGAAGAAGATCTTCTATCAGCAATTGAGTATCCGCGTGAACGAGCTAGAAAATAAGAAGCAGTTCAAATGTACATGGGTTGGCCCATCGCTGAAGGAGGAGAAGGAAATAATTCTATATCCAAATAAAAATGGCACGGTTGCGACACTCCTAGAGGAAGCTAAGAAACAAGTAGAACTCTCGGAGAACGGATCGGGACAATTAAGGATATTAGAAATCAACTGCAATAAATTATTACCGGGTCCTAAAGACGATGTACCCCTGGATAATCTTAATACATCTGGTACCAAGATATACAGGATAGAGGAGATCCCAAGAGATGAGTTAAATTTGGCAGAGGGTGAAATGTTAGTTCCTGTCGCTCATTTCCACAAAGATGTATACTCGACTTTTGGTATTCCCTTCCTCTTCAAAATCAAACACGTAAGCGTCTCTATGTAATAAAGTATCAAATCTATTACGAGAACATTCCCAAAATAATTTTAAGATCCTCTACAAAGAGATCCTTTTGTCTGCTTTCAGGGTGAACCATTCACAAAGGTAAAAGACAGACTGCTAAAGAAACTAGGAGTTCAAGAAAAGGAATTCGAAAAGGTAATGAAACTCTGATAGCTAATGACAATTCCTAATAAGAAAACTCAATGACAATTATACAAAATTTAAAGTTCAAGTTCGCGGTAGTCTCGCCACCAAAGCCGCAGTTTATCAATGAGGAGGCGGATTACTTTATCAATCTCTCTGACTTCCAGTCTCAACCAAGCCGAGAGGGTAAGTTTATCATTTCCATCAATGAATTGTATTATTCACAAGTAGCAAGTATTATTGTAGCTTACTACAATAATAGCATTGCTATAACGAGAGATAACAATAAGAACATATGTTCCATTGAGTGAAGCTGACTGAGAATAATCTTGTAGTTTTTTCACTTTCGAACACAGGTTCAGCGCCAAACAAGCCTTGGCTCGGTTTAGAACACGTCAACAAAGCGCCGAAGCGCTCTCGAATCAACTACCTCGAAAAGGCCATTAAGATTTACAACTAAAATTTCATCGTACGAAGAAGAGTTGACTTAAGCAGCCAAGACGCGCGCGTATCCCCCCCCC